CAGAAATGATTCTAATTTTTGAGAAAACAGTTTGTTTTATGTAAACGCGGCTCTTGAGTTTTAGATCAGAATGTGGAAACTTTTTCAACAGGTCGTTTCTAGGACCTGCTTCCAAGTTACCAAATTCTGGCAGCGGCAAATGTAGGGTTTATATTTATTTTAACTAACATTTGTTTTAAGTATAAGCTATCTTTCCTGTCAAGCCTTTACTTTTCCCTAGAATTGCCAATGCCAGAGTATGTAAATCGTAGTAGAACGCGCAGAGTATTCAAATTTTAGCAGAAGTAATTGAGTTTAAATAGAAGGGAAACGAGATTGTAGGTGTGCTTCTTGAATCACGAGCGTGAAGGTTGCTTGGTAGAAAGTTTTAAGAACTGCGCGTTTCGGCCTGTGTGCCTATTTCGACAGTTCGTTGAATCTTTCAAATTCTTAATCAGAAAGTTTGCTGAATCTCAGCTGTATCTTAGAACGCGGTTAAGATAGTTACAATTATAGAGCCTCGTAGATAGTGACTTCGTTAGTTAGCATCCTGTCATTTATTTTTAGTTGTACTTTTCTATTTTTGTTACACCGCCGGGTCGGCGTAGTTTGTGAGCGTCAAGCGAACGCAACTGTGATTTCTAAAGTGAAATAAAAAGGGAGTTAAACTCTTCCTAAGAGTCTGTGTAATTTCCAGTTCATAGCAGTCACTACTACTGTTGCTGACAAGTTGGGGCCTCCCAACATCACAACTGTATAGTTCCACATTATATTTTTCAAACATTTTTTATATACATATTCTGGAATTAAGTTGTTGCACTCTGTAATTCAAGGAAAGAGAGAGACTGAGCAATAATCGGAATTTTTTTTCTTTTTAGCTCGAAAGCAGTATCGCAAGTTTAATTGAAAACTCAAATGCCGTTGAAGTCATTTGTTGTTCCTGCTACTGTCAGTGTAGAGCTGAATAGCATAAGTGGGTCTGTTGTCAATAACTCCAGTAGTTTCCTTAAATATAATGACAGTTGAGAGATTTTATTAGTGAACTATTCACCCACGAAATCGAAATCGAGATGGATCGATGCAATCGTAAACCTGGCTGCTATTAATCTGTAGTAAAAACTTAAAATAGTTATCTGTTTGTTTCTTCGAATCGTGGAAAGTAGTGGTTTCAACCGGCGGTACTTGTCAGTTTACGCACAAGAAATGTCTTGTTATACATTAACAGTTTCATTGGCAGGTACTTCCTATTTAACTAATGGACTGAAATGCTTCCTTCTTTCTCCATCAATGTTATGCATATAGGTTTTTAGGTTTATCCTTATCAGAGTATTTTTTCTGTATCTTTAACGATATGTAAAAGTATAGAGTGAAGATTAATAATCATGAGCATTACCAAATATTTGATAACATTGTCAAATGCTTTGCGATTAAAAAATCATGGCAGTTAGCCATGGTTGTGTTTCTTCCATTACGTAAGATTTCAAAAGCAAAGGAAGTAAGAGATAATCGTTTGTGAACTCCAATAATTCCGTTTTTCTCCATTTCATTTTAAACTTAAATCTACTCGTATTTGCATATAAGAGTTTACATTTCTCAATTGAAAATTATTTATTAATTTACGTTTTACTATTACCTTTTTTTTTCATTTTTATTTTGCTTTACTTTGCATATTTTACAACAGTCTACTAATAAAAAAGTCCTTTAGGGAATCACTAAAATATAATAATACTCAAATGCCAAATTCGAATTCATAATTATTCATTTAAACCTGGTTTCCACATGATTTACTAAGCATTAAGACTATACTTCTAAGCATAATAAATAGCATAGGAATTTTACTAAACAACAAAGTTTTGCTGTTTTCTAAAGAATTAAATTTTCTGCACACAAAGCAACTTGTAGATACATATTCTGTACATAAAGTTAGATAATAGAGGGCGTTAGATCTGTGTCGATTCAGAATAGTGTTTTTCTTTAAGTATGAAAAGGTGTTACAGAATAAAAGGCTTCGACTTGAGGAAAATTCTAGTGTTTGCAATATCGTCTATCTGCTGGAACTGCTGGAACGTAAAATCGTCTATCTACTGGAACTGCCTTCGTTGACGGCGGCCTGGCCATTCTGTCCTATTACACGTATCCTCAGGGACAAAAACCAACTTTCTTCGATAATTCGTCTGGAGAAATAACGACACGAATATTTCCCATTCTGGACGTTCCTTCCCTTATATCTCACTTCACGCGCGCATTTATCATCATTCGCATAACTCAGTGACGTGCGCCTACTCTAAAATTTGCATAAATTTCTGACCATTCCTTCTTGGTGTTGCATTTTCAATGTCGAGCAGTGTATGTGAAGGCTTTAGTATTATAAAAATGTAATTAATTTATGGACGAAAAATCCGTTCACACAGTGTGTTATCCCCCCACCTGAAAAGGCAGTACCATGACTATTTCATCGTAGTACTATAAAAATTTCAGGAAATAGCTCTAAAGAATTAAAACCATTCTTTCCATGCATTCTTGAGGTATTAGTGGTTAATATATTCAGATAGGAAATGGAAGGCCTTGGTTTGGGTTCCCAGTGATACTGATGGGTTTGACTTTTCGATATTTTTGCTACAAGAGGTTTCATTGCCCTGCATGCTTAGAGAAATAAATTATGAACATTTTCAATTATTTCATTTGAAAGGCTGATAAAATGAGCAAAGTTAGTCTGGTAAAGGAAATTTGAAATTTTAATTTTTGAAACAATACTTTTTCCCCTGTTATTTATAATATTTTCTTCGAATTGATGAGCTTTTTAAAGATTTAATTATAGGTCTAAAAATGCTTAATTGGTCTTTGCGCTGCCTTGCGACAAAAATTCACTGAGATGTAGAATTCATGGGTTGAATTTGAAGAGAATGGTTAAAAGAAGATAATGATTACAGCATCAAGACGAGCGTCACAACGATGCAATATCATCCGACGTAATAGCGACCTCCCACATCCATCCATACACAAGGTGATCCACTACTGAAGCAGAAAATTTCCTGTTGTTTTGCTAAAATAGGTTTGCGGTAGAACTGTCTTTTGAGAAAATTGTCGCCAACATTAAACCATCTTCGTGATTGACTGTAAGGGTGACAAACCAAAGCTAGCTGACATAACGAATGGCCTAAAATGGTTTTCAAAGTTTTGTTTAATTTTTAAATCATTTAATATTTTAATAGAAAGATAGCCTACAGTTATGAAATATTTCCTTGGATCTTTATGAGAGGTATTGCATATACAAATTTACGAAAGTTATTGAGCATAACATGTTTAAATTTTCAAAATATTCTTATAAAAATTGTTTGAGCGAAATTAAGAGACGAGATTAATCACTGCAGTCTTCTAAAGGAAATTCTCATTTTCTAACTATCAACTTATAGAAAGATTAAAAAATTTTGCAATAGCGAAACCATGCTTTGGAAAAGTTTCCAAAATTAAAATTTACTTGTATAGATTTTTTGAGAGAAGAAACGTAGGAAATCAGAAGCACTTCAGCTGGGAATCAAGGTATAGATCTATTTGTTAGCAGAATGTGTTAACCATTAAACACCATAAAGACACACACAGGAAGAATGTCAACATTCATTCCATGTTTAGCGCACACAGCTCTTTTTCTATTTTCAGGTCAGAAAGAAAGGAGCATATTCAAACACTATGTAAGTAGTCAATAACATAAATGCAATTAATAATTTCTCGCCTACCTCTGTTTACAAATTATCACTTTATAAGGTATTTCTCCCACTTTCTTAGTATGCCTTCGCGGTTTGGTGGTCAGCACGCTCCGTGCGTATTCGAGTCCTGGTGAGGGCATTGCTCATTTTTTATCGCCCCTACTTCGAAATAACCTAATGTCTCTACAGTGGCGCTCGAACTGAAAGGGTGGATGATTCTCCACCAACAGGATTTGGCGTTTGCGTACTTTACCTAATCCCCAGTCGTTCTTTAAAAGGGGGAGTATATAAGATATTTCTCCCACCTTCTTAGCATGCCTTCGTGGTGTAGTGGTCAGCACGCTTGGCGTGTATTCGAGAGGTCCGTGTTTCGAGTCTCGGCGAGGGCATAGCTCCTTCTTCATCTCTCCTGCTTTCAAAAATTACCTAATTTCTCTACAACTAGATAAATTTACTATATTAATATTTTGAAAAATATGCAGAGTACACGGCTTTTTTTCAAAAATAATCAAACAAAAGCAAAATAATCAAACAATATGCAATCAATCAACACTATAAATGCTATTAATAATTTCTTGCCTGCCTCTGTTTACAAATCATCTCTTTATAAATTTATTATGTTAATCTCTTGATAAAATCTCTTTAATCTTTTGATACATAAAACAACTTCAATTAAATCCGATGCATGGGTTCATTTGAATACTTGGTTAAATACTATTAGAAATGCCAAAAACTTAAGCAAAACAGCTGATTAGGATAATGTTCAATGCTATTCTTATAAAAGTTTATGATTTGACAGTTAAAAAAAGCAATTATTATGTATATATATTTTAATGTATGTTTACAGGAGGCTAAAATGCCTGCATGGTGGGATACTTTGCTCATATAAAAGGCCTTTCCTTAGATATCAAAATAAAACATTCAAATGTGTTTTAAAATTAAAATCATCTCAAAACCTGCACATAATTTCCTCACAAATTAGCAAAAAAATGTAACATGAGTCTAAAATTACACTTGAAGTTACAAATATTTTGCAATACTGAATTAAATTATAATTTTTTTATTACTTTTTCAAACTAATATACTTTCTTATCGAGAAATGCAATACATAAATTATGTAAATAATCTGTAATTTTAGCAACGTTTAAAAGCAATTAATTAAAAAAAATATGAAAAAATGCATTATTTATAAAAGATAAAAAAAAGAGTTACATTATGGTTTTTAAAATACTACTCCTGCGGGATTAGAAAGAAATATGGATACAACACATTTTTAAAGCATTTTAGGTAAAAATCAATTAATGTCGAAGAACTTACTTCTACGGGTGTTGACTGACTTGGTTTTGCATTTCCGGTGATATTAAGTTTGATCTCAGCCATTTTTATTTTTTCGATTGAAGGCGTATCGAATACTATCAATGGTGACTGCCCATTCTCTTGCCTTAATCAGTTTTTGATTTGAGAATATTAAAACAGATCAGTATTGATGGGTTGCATTACGCAGAAAGATAATACTTAGTGATAAAATATATCAACAATTGAAGAAAAAAAAAAAAAAAAGAGGGGGGGGAGAAAAGAAAGAAAATACTGCTTTTATTGTTGCATTACTTGATATACTGATAGCGTTTTAAAACTCGTCACCAGTTATGAGCTTTAGGGCGCTCGCACATGCCCTTTGTTAAATTTATTTCTAATTTGCGAGCTCCTTTGTTCTTTTTGTTTGCTTATTCATTATTCTAATAAAAACATACGTCTTGCACAATGACACATTATTCTTTTCCCCTGAGAATTTGGAACTCTTCTTGTCTACTTTCGTTTTAAGTTCAGTCAACCTCCCACACATATCTAATCTCTTAGACGTGCACATAATCTAAACTCTTAGACGTGCATAATATTTGAAAGAAATAATAATATGTGAAAATATTTTTTCTTCCTTGTTCTGAATAAAGGACGTATTGCAATCGCGAAAAATCTGGGTATCATATTTCAACGGAAATACCCATTTTCACCGTTCCCGAGTCCATTTTGGACGATTTTTTCGTGTGATATCTGTATGGAAAAAATAAGTATGGACAGAATAAAAGACCCTTTTTGTCCAAAACACTGCAAGGAATTAACATTTTACTCAATGTAACTTCTAAGTAATCCTCAATAAAAGTGTAAGCGACTTCTTGCCAAGTCTTAAAAGTACCACAGAAGCTTTGCAAAACTAAATCCAAATATCAAATACCCAGATGCTACGCAAATTAACCTCGAATTTGGCTCTTAAACCTTCACCGGCGTGAAATACTATCGGCAATTATAATGCACGGCCGAAGACATGAACTCTTAACAACTTAGAATAACAATCCTAGTACCGTGACCCTCACTAAGTAGAACACTCTCTGACTTCACAATCCCAAACCTCCACTTAAATACATGAGAGCTAATTTGCATTCTGGAGGAAAAAATGGAAAGAAAGAAGTGACAGTAAAAATTCTGAACTTAAAATTCTAGAAAATTCTTGTATAAATTCTAGAACTTATACAGTTCTAGAATTTTCCACAAAAGCACTAGTACAGCTTTTCACGGTATCACAGAGTGCAATCAGTCACACTTCAAACTATTAAGATCATTAAACCCAATGCAATGCAAAGTGCATATAAAAAGCGAAGCTGTTAAACATACGAGCTGTTAAACTCGTATATTAGTACTCAAATATATATCAAGCTGTACAAGCTGCCAAACATATATCAGTCAACTCTAAATGAAAACTGAGAGCTGATGCTATGTTCAGTCTTATACTGTTTCCCCCCAGCCGTCGAAAATTCTTAGTACCTTCCATTTCTAGAAACTACTAGATGGCATATGAGGACCGGCTACGGTTACAGTTTATGGATCAAATATAGTTATTCAATTACAGTACCAATTACGGTTACACAGGGACCGAAGCAAAATGTCGCCAAATGGTTTTGTTCTACAATAGAAATTTTCTCTTTGATTTGTTGTTTGCTAGCATACCCTTTCTCCGATTTATTATTCAACAACAGTAACTCTTTGTCCGATTTGTTGTACTGCAGCAGAAACTAGTTCTTCAATTTCTTCAACTTTATTATCAACCGTGTCAGTTCTGTCTTCCATAGGTTCGAATTCGTTTTCTATTACGGAGGAAATTTCTCCTTTCATTTCCTCTTGATCTGCTTCAAACTTTTCTTGAACTGATTTGACGGCCCTTTCCATCTTTCTTGAATAGCTTGCAACTTTTTCTCAACAGATTCTTGGCTCCTTTTCATATCTTTTTAACGGGCCTGACGGTCTCTTACATCTTTTCTTGGCTCTCTTTCATCTCCCCTTTAACACAATTGACGGTTTTTCCATCACTTCTTCGAATGCAGCAAAGGCAGTCAAACGTTGTCTTAGTTGGTTCTCCATCGCTATTCTCACCGGCATTCAACCCCACTCCTGATATCAAAAACTGTTGCGTGCGTACGGGTTCGTAATGTATTGAATGCACACAGAACTGATGACAACTTGATAATTTTTTTTTTTTTTTACTAAAAGAAACATTTTACAGTCCTAGAACTTTCCACAGAAGCACTCATACAACACTTATCAGTATCACAGGGCACAATCTGTAATTACATTACAACCACCAAGAACGTTAAACACAGCGCATCTAAAAGGCGAAGGTTTCACGGATATCTCAATACTTCAAAGTCAGCTCTGAGCTAACAACTGAGAACTGCTGCTCTCTCAGCCCTTTTATATAATTCCCCCCCCCGGTAGCCGAAAAATCTCTAGTACCTTCTATTTCTCGAAATTATTAGAAAGCACATGAGGGCTGGATTCTTTTACAGTTATATATAGGGATCAATTATAGTTATTCAATAAAAGTACTAGTTACAGTTATACAGGGACCGGACCAAACTGCCTCCAAATGGTACAAAGTTTGGCGAATTCTGAGGATTTGGCCTCAAAAATTAGTTGATAAAACTATCGCCAATTAGGAAAGAGAATAATTTACCTCAAAGTTAAGTAGACTTGTTCCTGTAGTCTCATTTTTCCACTGAAGAGCTTCGCCTCTTCAGTCTTTCCATATTACATTAAGTAAAAGATGCTACAATTTCACGTAAAATTTCACTAAAACTATCTACATATATAGAAATTTCGTAACATTGTCGCCTTCCCAAGGACTGCAATCTCCAGCTTTGCAGTATTTCACCAGTTTAGCGAGAGAGACATTTACCTCAATGTTAAATAGTTTAGTAACTTTAATCTTATTTTTCCAGTAAATTTCGTCTCTTCAAACTTTTCATACTATATTATACAAAGAATACTACTATTTCACATACAATTTCACTAAAACCATATTTACGAAATTCGTTACAATATCATATACATCTGATTCAAAGTTGTAGTTTCCTTGCATTCTACTTTTTAGATTTCTTCTTTTTGTCGATTAGTTTTGCGACTTTTGAACTTTTACCTGGAGAAGATATATTTGAATCAGTTTTCTCTTCAAAATTTTAAATGGCGTCTTCCCCCCCCCCAATGTAAGAATTTCCTTCAGGTTTACGTAAAAATGCCTTAGTATTATTAAAATTTTTACTTTAAAATCTAAAATTATTTCATTTATTGCAGTTGCTTACTCTACATAGGTAAAATATGATAAACATTAATCATTACTTAATTTTTCCCAGTCTTATTTCAGAAGCTGCGCCGAACTTATTTCAGAATTTGCATTTTGTCTCGAATATTCCGGAACGTCAGCGCGACAGTGACCCAGACGTGTATGCAGCACCTTGTTCTATTTCAACCAGTTTCAAATGACTCGATCCATCTATCGCTACGAATCTATTGTGAATGCGTATGCTGTATTTGCGTGTTGCACATCACCGTCCTTCAAAACTCGATTTTTGCCTCTTTTTCTCCAAAGATAAACGTTTTACCTTCACCACTTTTCAAGACGCTAATTTAAATCAATTAGAGAATGACTTTTTTTGGCATAGTATCTAGACACAAAATATATGTGGCTTATTTTTCCAATAACGGATTGTAAAAGGGATTCAGAAAAGAGATTTTTCGGTATTTTCGTTTCGTTAGATACGTATCTCGAATAACTCGAGAATGAGTAGCCGTAGAATGTTTTAGTATATAGCAGTGCTATAACATCTACTTGTACTCCTCGCGTTTTCCTTGCAATCGGTCACTTTACATGTATATATATATATATATATATTCCTGTCTTGTCACACCGGCTCGTTCAGCTCTGTATTTTTGTTCTTATACATTAGTAAATTTTGCATTTTTGCCTTTTAACCCTTTAAAAGGTCGAATTATGTTGTTCTTGTGTTTCGGTTAAGGGTTTTACACCTTTAGTGCATGCGATAGCTATCGAATTATGAGCAATGTAAAAGTGATGGTAGGCGTAACGAGGCCAGACACTGTTAGTAGAACTGTGAATTAAATCATTTGGTGAGCCAACTTCCATGTATTTTTGCAAAAGGGAAACTAAACATTAACTTTCAATATCGTATACCAAAATTTGGGTCTGTCTGCCTGCTCGTTGATTTGCTTGTTTGGACGCAGATACTCTAATTTTAATTTTAAAAATTGGTTTTAACTGCATTTAATGTCTTAGATCTTTATATATTTTACAGTTTCCAATGAAGGCGTTTTGAATCTTTGTGGATTTTTGCTCCGCCGCGAAGTGAGAACTGAATAAATTGAAATATAAATACATATCTAATTAAAATTCGAGGACGCAGGGGCAAATCAAGTGAAGCAGAAATGTCTATAATTTAATAGTTCTTACAGGGAAGTCGTGTGGTGGCGACATCAGATATTTTGTTGGGTGCGTGTGCCTAAATTACATATACGTTCATGTTAGGTAAGTAGTGACGGAAAGTGTTTATTATTGTATATATTAATAAGAATCAAAGGGTTTGAGTAGGAGGAAAAGCGATGTGGGACTTTTTATATCCAATATAATATTCTGGAAACAATGCGCTGATTTTAGAGGAAAGACAAAAGAAAAGTTTAATTAAACTACCACTTTCCTTAACTCTGTGATTGTCACCCAATAAGCAGTGAAGATAATAAAGATTTCCATTCTAAGTGTCATGAATGTTTTCAGACTTGTGTATAAGTGTTAGAATTATATTCAGCCAACAGCATTAACAGGCGCATAATTTAGCTCTGTTCGTGCACCGAAGATGAAATATAAGTCACTTTCTCCCTTCCAATCTCTAGTCACAATCTGTTGGACGAGAAATTGATCATCGCACGAGCTAACTTAAATCCATTCTCTGAATCCCTTAGTAAGGTAGGCGTTCTGAACACTCCATGTTGACTCAAATTATTATATCTTATTATTGATTAATGTAGAGAATTGAAACGTTATGTTCTGTTCACTCGGTTTTCAGAATGTCTATTATGATGGACGTATGAAATATCGTTGCCTGGTATGATGTCAGAAAGTCGTCTGTGATGGTTTT